GAGGCAGTCCAGGTGTCCCGGGGCGGAGGCTTGGGGGCTGCTCCTTTCATGTGGAGCATGGCCTAGAGGCTCCGGGTGTGGAAAAGCATTTCTATTCGGTTCTGACTTTGGGGATGGATTCTTAAAGATACCAGCAGGAGACATTCAAGTGAATTATATATATTATATATATACGTATACACACACACATACAAGCAGCTTAATCTGTTCGGAAGAAACTCTTTAAAATATATTTCTGTACTTCACTGTTCAATGCATGTATAATGACTTGGGAGTTTTATTAGCGCCCCAGCCTTTCTTTTGATTAACTTGCAAATGAGAACCCCCCACCCCCCTCCATGCATCGGTCTGGTCCCTGAAATCATTAATGAAACATCTGAGCTTTATAATTTGCATCCCGATACTTCGGGGCAGAGCGGACGGTAGGTAGAGACGGTGGGAGTGAGGTGGAGCCTGGTCAGAGCCGCCTGCTCAGTAGGACTGGATATAAGTGGCAGTGGAGGACCTGGGTGGCCTCTGGGCTTGGCCTTCCCCAAGGCCGGTGGGGCAGATCTGCCTCTCAGGCGGAAAGCGAAGGATGCTAGTAAGGTCCACCAGCCCCCAATCCTACCCCCCTTTTTACCACAAAGCACTTTAGTGTGGTTCCTGAGTGCCGGGCCTTGTACTTATTACTGACCTGGAAGTAATTGCTCCTGGGAGTAGTTTAAAAATAAATTTCCATGCAAATGGCACAGAAAGCTGCAGGACCCGGTTGGAGGGTGGCCTGGGTGAGGGCCTGTATTTGCCCCAGGAATTCTAGACTCGAGGGTCTGTTGCTGACCATCTCCTCCCCTCAGAGGGGAGGAGACACCCACGTGCACAGAGCCAGTGGTGGCAGAGCTGAGCGGAGCTGGGGGCAGCCTCCCCAGTCTCTGGCTGTGGGATGGGGGTGGGGGGGTGGCCTGCTCACCAAGCTTCAGGGTCGCCCTTCTCACGGAGGAGCTGAGACCTTGGGTGAGCCACTGCCTGTCTGCTTTATGACACGAGGCGGTTGAATTAAGCCAGCGTCTTAAAGAGTGGTCCCAGAGCTCCTGAGCTGGTCTCTGGAGGCGGGTCCCGGACAGACTCTGGGGAGCCTGAGCCCCAACCAGCAAACACAGGGCTCAGGTGGCTCCCAGCAGCCTAGGAGCCCTTGGAGGAGCTGGGGCCCAGGACCCCCGTGGGAGGTTTCAAACAGAGACAGCCAGAATTCAGCCCTCCGGCTGTGTGAGGTTCCCATCCCCTGACTCGGGTTTTAAGAACTTCTTGTGACTCAGTTTCCCCCAAAGTCAGTTCCTCGCAAATGGGAGGCCCCATTTCTGCGGATGGGGGCTTCGGGCTCTGGGCGAATGACAGGGCTGTGGCCAGTTGCCCCTCACCTCCGAGATCCAGCACCCAGGGCAACCCAGCAGAACCTGGCACGGGTCTTGGATTTGGCCAGAGCCGCTCTCAGGTGCAGAGCCCTGGGCGCTTCTGGACGGCAGGGGGCGCTGTCCGCAAGGCTTTGCTCCCGGCGGCCCCGAGCGTGCAGCGCGCCTGCGCCAGGGGCCGGGCTCCCGTGGCCTAGAGCGGGAGGTGCAGGGGGCCAGGGCCCTGGGCCTGCGCGGGCTTTTGACCTCGTGGAATGCAGTGTACTTTCATAAAAGTTTATTATTATTGTTATTATTGTTATTACTATTATTATTAAATGTGCTCCTTGTAGGAAATTTGGAAATGTAGAAACAGATCGCCCGGGGCTGTGCGCAGTCGTTAATCCCGACAGCAGCCCTGCAGAGTTGGTGGCTGACAGGCCCAGGGAGGGCAGACAGCTCTGAGTCTCCGGGCAGGAGCTGAGGCTGGACCCTGTGGGGCCGGTGCCCAGGCAGCCCCCTGTGCAGGTGGAGGTAACAGCAGTGCCTGTGACCCCGAGGTGTCCATCCAGGAGTGGGGGGCTGGCTTGGAAAGCAGGGCCCCAGCCAGTTCCAGAGGTGGGGGAGGTAGCTTCCACCCCTGGCTCCTGTGCCCCGACCTGTGCCCACAGCCCAGCCCGCCCGGGGAGTGGCCCTCTCTGGACAGGGCCTGCTAGTTGGCCCTTTATGTAGCCAGGGACCTCGCGAGTGGGGAGGGCCTTGGCCCGGGCCTGGAGCCTTCTTTAGGCTGCTCTGTCTCAGGTGGGGGAGCTCTGGTCCTTGGGGAGCGGCGGGGTGTGGGCAGTGTCGGCTGCAGGAACCGGGCCCCATTTGTCAGACTGTCTCCCTCTGCCTGGCTGGCTGGCTGCCCTCCTCACCTCCAGAGCTGTTTGTTTGGGTCGACACGCTCCCTGCAAACAGCCAGCCCAGGGCCCGTCTGTGGCACCGGCCCTGCCTGCGGCAACCACTTTTCC